CAACAAAAAAAAAAAAAAAAAAAAAAAAAAAAAGAATTATATCTTCAGAAGCATGGCAGAAGGTCTGATCTTCCAAAATAAAGTAACCACATTCCTTCCCCTCCCTTGGTTGTACATAAAGATTCCTGAAGGTGCAGTCAACTACAAAAGAAAGAAGGCAATGCTTTAGGTTTGAGGAGAAGGACAGAAAGAAACACTACTTTTCATCTGTCCCAGCGGAGGTTTACAGTCTTGGTCTTCCTTCTGCAGGGCAGTAACCAGACATATGGGAGATCTCATATAAATGTGCTCAGCTTTGAAGACTGAGAACAGTACTTTTTAACACAAACACAATGCCCCAGATCATCTATAAAGCTGCATCAGGAGCCTTCCAACAGATGTCTAGGCATCAATTGTGAGTGCAAGTACTCTGGATGTAGAGCATATGTGACAAAAAGAAAAACTAAGAGGAAGACGGCTAGCTAAATGCACCCCAGATTTTAGCTTTTAAGTCTGTAAAACAGGAACAGACTATCTGAATATTTTTCATGAACAAAATGAGAATGCCACCTGAAAAATAATAAAAAACATTTTATAGATTGACCTCTACACGGTAGACAGTGGAAGCAGTTACCCATGTTATATCTGAGTCTTATTGATCATAAAAACAACTTTTTCCATAGGACTAGCCAACTTCATCTGACGTGCAGGCTGGCATGTGTCCTTGCAGAAAAGACTTCCCACAGACTGGAAGTCCACTCACAGCTAAGAAACCACTGGCAGCAAAAAGTGGTCATTTCATCCCATAAGCAAGGGCGTGTGGATGGATTCAAGTGAACCAAAATCAGAACTGGTTTGGAACTAGAAGTAGCAGAGCAGAAAGGGAAACACCAAATCAACCAGCTTCACCAATCTTCTCTGAGTTCCACCTAAGACTCCCTTACTGGAAGGAGTGTCTCTAGAATGTAATTTAAAAGGAAAAAAGAAAAAAAAAAAAGAAAAAAAGAAAAAAAAAAGGAATTTGGAGTTTGAGGAGATGTTCTGGCTGCAGCAATCAGCTGCCACGCACCAAGAGAAGCAGGGGTGGAGATGAAGTTGGGTTTCATGCTGCTATCAAGAGATGAACTCCACCAGTGGCTAAGAACTGACAGCTGTAACTGAAACAAAACTGTCACTCTTCTGAAGGAGCCTCATCTTTAAGGACCAGAACTGTAGCATAATTATGCAGCTTTTCAATAGCATAATTTTCTTGGCTGCCTTCTGTTTGTCACAATTACATTCACTAAACACAATGGAGAATTTTAAGCCATACTGTTTCATGGATCATTTTATTTGGGAAACGATGCATAATTCTCATGCATCAACTATGATTATTTTGTGTTGCTGAAAAGAGAGATGACAATGTTTGCCTGAATTATTTTAGTAGGAAAAAGTAGTAAAATCCAGCAACTGAATTGTTTAATAAAGAGTTGAGCTCTTTTACTCATTTAAATATAAAAATTAATTTTTAAAAATCAGCTTTCTTTCCGGTAGAATACGTAATTCAGTGTTTGTATTTACTGCCCTCTACTGATGATGGATGCATTAGCTACAGGTATATAGGAACGCATTCGATCTTATTTGATAACAAATTTGACAATGCAACCCACTAATTTCCAACTGTGCTGAACCAGGATCTTCGTACATATTCTCTACAATTAACTTATTTTCAATAGGCACTCCAAAATAATCGCACAAACAACAAAAATTACATCCTATTTCAACTCATGCTTTGGGGACCAATGTCAATCTTTAAGACATGAGATCCATCTAAAGCCTTCTTCCAGGGATTGCTCTACAGAATGATAGGGAAACAGAAACACATTTAAAAAACAACAACTAAAACAGCAACAAATATTCTCCAGAAAATGGAGTTTAATTTCCACTAATATGTTCCAGTTTACAATATTCTCTGATATACTTACCTTTCCCCTCAAATACAACACTATGAAAATAATGCAACTTAGATAAAAGCAACTGTTAAAAGCTAATTTAGATCACAGAAAAGTGGATTGGGGCATGATTACAGCTGCAGTTATGACTGCACAGCCGCTGGCAGATGCAGTGACAAATAGCTCAGGTAGTTATCTCTCTATCCCACTCTGCAATTGACTGAACCAAATGCGTAACCACAAGGAAGTATTTTTGTCCACAAAATTACTACTGCAAACAGCATCTGATGTGAAAAGAGAGCCTTTGAAGTTTTGCTGTTAAAAAACAATGCTAAAATGAAATACTTTACGTTTACTTGCATGTGCATATCACATCATAACCAGAATAAAACTATATGCTTTCATGCATCCAAATTTATTTTTTATAAATATAAAATACTTCTACATCATAACAGGCAAAGCTGTGAACCAACAGGCAGTTAGCTATGCTTCAGCTCTGGATATGCTTCAAAAAATACCCTAGGTTAAAGCAAGATTAAAAAAACACATACATTAAATTACTGCAATGTTAGCTGAAATACAGTTAATCCATCATATCTGCATGTTTCTTAATAGATATCTGCACGTTTTGCTCAAAGGTTCTTGTTATATTTATGAAAGATGCTGGCACACAAACAAAAAATCAGCTTAAAGTGGACATGAGCTCAGGGACCTTGGAGTAGAATACTTTTTTTTTTTTTTTTTTTTTTTTTTTTAAAAAAAAAAAAAAAAAGTCTCTACCTGGCATGTAGAAATGTATATTATTTTAATGATGTTTGTCTCTATCTCTTTCACCTCCATGACAGCCAGTTTTGCAGTGAACAATCTCAAACAAACCTTTAAAAAAACAGTGTATATTTACAGCTACAGTACTAAACAGTTTCACACTTCATAGAAGAGTCACTCTTTGGCCCTCTAATCATAGCAGGATAGGAAACCATGAACACTATTCAAGTGAAAGTTAAAATTTTGGACAGAGTTTTGGACAGAGGACCTGTGAGGAGGTGTTCTTTCTTGGACAGATTCAAGAACTGTCATTTATGGAACAAAAACAGTATTTACTCCTCTTTCCTTAGCACTTGCATTACATTCACTGCAGATACAGTATCTTGCACAGGATGATGCATAATATACAACAGTAACAGCTACGCAATTCCCCTCAAAAATAACAAACAAAAAAAAGTTTTTTAAAAAAAAAAAAGTCAGACACAGGACAAAAGATAAGCCTTGCTCCTTAAAATTGCATCTATGGATGGCACAGCAGGTCATTTTTAGTTACATCTTTTTGTCCACCTCTTCTTAGATGCTGCCTTGAGGAGGTGATACTACTACATTTTGGGGCATTTCATCTCAATTCTTTTAATTGCATGCATCCACTCATGTCTTTGGAACAACAATGGACAAACAACTACAACACTGCTATCACTCTCACCCCTTTCATTTGCAGCTAGAGAAGAATCCTGCCTCTCCACTGGCTCTTTACAAAATGTAGGAACAGAACCAGGTAAAAATCAGCCTTGCATAAAGCTTCATGATTTAGCTTATACTGCATTTTCATAGAATCATAGAATCCTTAGAGTTGGAAAGGGCCTCTGAAGGCCATCTAGTCCAACTCACCTGCAGAGAAGAGGGACACTACATTTTGATCAGGTTTTCCAGGGCCTCATGCAGCCTCACCTTGAGAAACATGGGCATTTCACTGGGTTGCCTTTCTTTGTCATGCTTTCAATTACATCATTTTCCGAACATATCAATAAGCACTGCTTCATTACCAAAGTGCAGCCCCAGACAAGGATACTTCATCAGGTCAACAAGTAGATAGAAATGGCACATTTTGCTGTAAGCGGAGTCTGAGGGCTTGTACTAGGCTACAGTACCACCATCACAAAAAGGAAAGCCAAAAAAAAAAAAGTAAAGAGACTGGTGTGACCTAGCGTATGTGCCTCCTTTGAATGCCTATGATTACTTCAGTGCATCTGGGCAGAGAATATCTGTCCAAAGACATAATGAAAACAAAGAGTAAAAATATTAGAGGTACTGTAAAGATATAATGCTTCAATAACACCCCTAAAGCTAACAGTACTGCTGCTGGAAGAATGCTACTGTTAACAACAATTACTGTACCATGGAGATGTGCATGTGCAAGATATTAGCCTCAGGTAACTGCCTGTCCTGCAGCACACTAGTTCCTAGAACTTATAACATGTCTCCCAAACTACAGTAAGGGCAGGAGCCTTCTATTACAGCTTACTGCATATGTTAGGTTTACAATTTGCATCTATATAACACAGCAAAAGGACAGTTGTGTTAAGGGATAGGAACAGTTTCCTTACAGTGTAGTTAAAAGCCTTTCCTAAAACAATTTGAGCTAAATCCATAAAGGCATTCAGACTAAAAAAAATTGTAACCTCAGTTTTTCTAATACCAAAGCACTCTGAAAACAAGCATTCTGTCATTTAAGTACTGTGAAAAGATAAACTTTTTTTTTTTCCTCCTAGAAATTTTTAGGAAATTCTAACAGTTCCTTTCTGAATTGAAAGGATTTGGCTTTAAACAGTATCAGACCAGGTTTTTCTTCTCTTCCTAGCTCATATCCAGCTAACACTTGCCTAATTAGCAGCTTCATCTAACAAACACGCTTGGTGAAAAAAAAAAGCAAAAGCTTGCCACCAGTAAACAAAAGCATGGTACATATTCCTTGAGCATGCCACAGTCTTCATGCGATTTTGCATTTTCCCATTTTGTCCTTTCTTGTTTTTGCTTTTTTTTCATCGTGTCAATTCATGCTAATAAAACAGTTCTGTAATAAATGAATATAAAACACAAAATTATCTGAATAACTTAAACATATTATACACACTTTACATGTTATGGGTATGTGTGTCTGTGTATGTATGTATATCTGTGTGTACATACATGTATGTGTACATGAGTGTATCTACCCACAGATACCTACTGTGTGATAGCTACAAGAGAGGCTTGTAGACAACACTGTGCATGTTTGCAGAGAGGTATGCCTGACAAATCCGCAAGGAACAATGACTCCTAATTCAAAACTGTGATGGTGTGTTTGTTCTAAGACTGATACAACTACACCAGCAAAAAATTAGCTTTAGAGATACAGCCTATTTGATGCAGAAACTGGGTTGCTATGTAGAAACAAAATTCAGCCTCGATGGTATGCCTGCATTC